TTGATCTCTCCTCCTGAGCATGCAAACTATGCAGCTACATAGAGAACATGACCCCCCCCTGCCTACAACCCACTGTCCTGGAACTAATGGACCATGCTGTGCTGGCATATTAGGGAGTTTACCAAATATGTATAGATGTCTCTCTTATCATAATAATTAAGATCCACAATTTCAGCATTGTATGCTAATTACAATGTACCTAGCACCTGAACTCCAAGTGCCTTGTACAAGTTCACAGAAAAGCATCTCTTCATGATGAAGATCCCTCTCTGTGTCTGGGCTTTAAATAGCTCATTAGATTCTTGATATAAAGTTAACTTTAGCAAGGAAAACCAATGGAGAAAAGAGGTTTTTTCATTGGAGAAACTAATTACTAAGGAGATTAAACTCAAATTAGAAGTTGCTTCCCTGGAGAAATATTGGGAAAGCCGTATTATTCCACGAGGATTACGGATAATGTTACAATCATCCACAGATAAAGACGACCCAGAATTTAACACAGTCTGGGATCGTATTCTCAATAATTGCTCATACGAATTGATGAGTCATATTATATGCAAACGGAAAAGAATGTTAACAGCAATTGATAGGGATATTGATAATCTTAAAGAAACCCTTACTCCCTATTTAGAACTTCCAGAGTGTGTTTCTTTAATGGAAAAAATAGAGAAAAAACTAGAAAAAACCTTTGAAGAGGTTATAAGTATAAAGAAGAAAAAATATGAGAGAGATGAGCAGGATTTCAAGGAGAATCGAGTTAGAGATAATAAAAATAAAGGAGGAACAAAGAAGAATACATCTAGGGAATTCTATAGAAAATCCCAGGTGAATGGAAACTCTCCTAAACGTTTCCAATACACAGGGAACACTCTAAATAGGAATGCTCCCCCTATAATGAGAACCCCCAAAGAGTCCAGATGGACCACTGTGAGGTATCAGAAAAAAGAGAAAATACCCCAATATCAAAATAAAATTTGTGAAACCCCTAAAACATATAAACCAATAGATCATACAACCTGGAGACATAAAAACAGGTTTGAAGTTCTAGACAGAAATAATGACTCTGAGAATGACCGGAATGGACACTCTGCCAATCATTATCAAACTGAGAATTATTTTTTAGGACCCAGACGGAATTTTTTAAATCGACAAATGATAGACAAAAACTATTCAGACAGAAAGAAAAGACCCTTTTTAGGGGATGCAGAGGAGGAAAAAGAATCAAGAAAAAGAACGAGATGGTAGCAATGACAGGAATTTTTAATCTATCTAACATAACCCTGACCAAAGATCAGGTTAGGGTTCTTAATAAAGGTCTTAAATATGCTCCTACGAAAATATCAGACCCTTTTTCCAATTTTTTGGATGTTCAAAGATTTATACGTAAGCTATCATTGAAACGCTTTTTTCTAAATAATCCGATTTTAAATAGTAAAGAATCCTCTAGAGATACTTTTCAACATACAGACTTAAGAAATAAGTCTACATTTTATCCCAACAATCAAACAAGTGCAGCTATGAGCGCATTTAGTCTGGCAGTTATTGCTGACTTGGAAAAAATTCCAGAGAAATTGCCAGGACATAAGTTTAATTTGACTATATCCGAGAAAAAGGCCCTTAGAGAATTAGAAGATAACTCAACCATTACAATAAAACCAGCGGATAAGGGGGGGGGCATAGTGGTTTTAAATACGAGAGATTATGATATCGAATGTAATCGAATTTTAAATGACGAAAGCACCTATAAACGTTTAAAAAAAGATCCAACCATGGACTTTAAGAAATCCTTATATACATTATTAGAAAAAGGGAGTTTTATGGGGATTTTAACAAAAAAAGAACTCGATTTTGTTACAATCACACATGCCAAGAAACCCGTGTTTTATTATCTCCCTAAAATACACAAGAGCATCTCACAGCCCCCGGGGAGACCTATCATCTCAGGTATAGACTCCTTGACATCTAATTTATCACAATATATAGATGTACTCTTACAACCATACGTGAAGCTTTCAAAATCTTATTTGAAGGATAGTGGAGATCTTCTAAAATTAGTCAATGAAATCACTTGGAAAAAGGGTTTTTGGCTAGTGACGTGTGACGTGACTTCATTATACACTGTAATACAACACGACTTGGGACTACGTGCAATAAGACATATTTTGTATGAAAATCAAACTCTAAATATGGAACAGGTTGAATTTCTGTTGGAGTGTATAGATTTTATTCTGAGACATAATTTCTTTTGGTACAAGGATGATATTTTCTTACAGATTAATGGAACGGCTATGGGGACTAGGTTTGCACCCAGCTATGCCAATATTTTTATGACATATTGGGAAAATCTTTTTATTTGGCAAGGACATCGCTGGGTTGCAAACCTAGTCCTGTATAGAAGATATATTGACGATTGTTTCTTCATTTGGGAGGGCACGGAAATAGAGCTATTAGAATTTCTAGGATATTTAAACCATAATAATTTTAACTTGTCTTTTACACACTCACATAGTTGTAAAGAGGTAGAGTTTTTAGATTTGGTGTTATATGTAGAGAATGACAATCTAAAATCCAAAACTTTTTTTAAACCTGTAGATATTAACAGTTTTATTTTGACATCTAGTTGCCATTACAAGCACTACGGAATCTGTTGGCGCTATATAAATGGCAATAATAAATAATTACCCTTCATGGCTACAGGGAGTTCCCTATAGCCAATTTCTAAGAATTAAGAAAAATTGCACAGAGGAAGATGTATATAAGGAACAACTAGACAAAGTAAGGACCCAGTTCATAGAGAAGGAATATAATCCAGACGTACTTAATAAAGCGGTGGAGAAAGTGACTGCAAAACCCAGGAAGGAGATTTTGGCAATTAAAGATAAATGTGAAGATACAAATAACGAAAAGCTCCTCTGTCCCCTCATTTTTAACTTTAATGCTCAAGCCAGTTATATCAAGAAAGCAGTTCAGAAAAATTGGAATCTGCTAAAACAAGATCCACAATTAATGTCCATATTACCAGAAAAACCCAAAGTCGTGTTTAGGGGAGCACCAACTCTAAAAGACAAATTGGTTCACAGTTATGTTAGACCATCCCCGGAAAAACATTTCTTAAATTCACAGAAAGGTTTTTATAAATGTGGATCATGTAGGATTTGTAAATTAATAGGTCCCCCCTTTGGAGCAGTTTTTGAATTTAAGTCTACAGCAACTAAAAAGGTTTATAGAATCAAAGAATGTATAACCTGTAATACAAAACAGGTTATTTATTTATTGAGCTGCACCTGCGGTTTACAATATGTGGGACAAACCAAAAGAATGTTAAAAATAAGATTAGGTGAACACATTTACAATATTAATAGGAAGTTTGAAAAACATTCACTTTCGGAACATTTTAAAAATTATCATAAAAGTGACCCAGGATCTCTATCATATTGTGGGATTCAAAATGTCAAAATTCCCTGGAGGGGGGGGGATCTTATAAAAGATTTGCTATATAAGGAAATGTATTGGATCTATACGCTAAAAACTTTAGCACCTTATGGACTAAATGCAGAACTGGAAATGTCACAGATTCTATAAAGTAGGTCTATGTAATTTTTATCTTATTAGAATTTTTATCTTATCATTATTATTAATCATTTTTTTCATTATTATATAATAGCTGCACCAACTTATGCTTTATGTATTAGATAAGAGACAATTTGTCATAAATTATATACATTCAATGTACAAAATAATCTTTCAATTTTTAAGAATGGATTTTTCTATATTGCTCAAAATGAATTATAAAAATTTTATTTCGTTTCATTGGGATTAATTGATAAGAATTGTTCTATCATAGGAAATTTAAACAATATATTGGTGTTAAACAAATTAAGATTATTAGAAAGTAAAAGAAGCAGTCATTGTATTTTAATGTGTTTTTAAGCATGAATTTATTTTGAAAACGAA